GACCGATCACTATTCGTAAAAATCCGTTGAATAGTAAAACCTTTCCAAAATGCATAAATACTGGCAGTCCAGCCACGTAGTGACTTCTTGTTAAGGTGTAGCCACACATTTGTGTGATTACACCTTGCTGTGTATTCCACACCTTTGTTTCGTCTCACCATCTTGTGTGACCCACCCTTCCACACCAGGGTACGTTTTATCCCGTTATATTTATTAATAGTCCTATCAAGCACGAGAAGCGGGACGTGTTGAACCGCATCAAACACTTGCGAGCAGTATTAACGTTAAAGAATTGCTAAGTGTGTGACTAAGTTTACTTTTCTGGATTGCTTCGTTGAAAATAATCGCCAGCGGGTAAGTTTACCGCAACAACATGCTGTCTGTATCTCAGACCTAAGGAAATGACTTGGCCTGGCTGAAATAGCAAATAACGTTGGGTGTTCGAACAAGAAGTGCAATTCGTTTCGGCAGACAACTGAATTGCTGATGAAGCAAAAATGGCGGTGCAAAATATGCAAGCAAGTATCTCACAACTGGGATAGCTGGAGTGGTGGTCGTCGTGTTGAATGTGATTGCGGACTAGCATTTGCATGGTGCGGGCCGAGTATTCGTTGGACAACTTTTGATCGTATCAAATATACATATTGATTATTTCCTTCTTGGAAGTTTTTCTTTCATCAAAGAAAGATGCATAAAGTTTAAGGGAGAATAAAAATGCCCCAGTTTTTGCCATATATAAAAAATATCCCAACTTTTCAAAAAATAAAAAATACCCCAGTACGTAAATTATCACCGGGGAGCCGTAATATTACACAACAGAAGATGTATTGTATTAGGAATGAATTAGCATAATTTAACAAAATACCCCACAATAACAAAGTATAAATTGACCATTCAGTTTGCTATAAACCATTCAGTTTGCTATTAACCAAATAAAGCTAAAATAAAGAATACGTGACTTGTAACCAGGTCCCACATATGCTCAGATGGTAGAGCGCTTGCAAAATACAAGCAAAGGTCCTTAGATCGAACCCAATGGGTAGGTAGTTTGTTGGTGTCTCATGTCCCATGTCCCTGTGTCCCTTGTCCCTA